TCTGCTCATTTTTTCTGCAATTTTGGTGGTATAGAACTTATTTCTGCTATTTTATGATTTGGTGGCTCCTATTTAATGTAGGGTTTCCAAAATTTCAATGTGGAAAAGGTTCATACATCTGAATTACAACAGTATTTGGAGGAGGGAAGGCTTGCTTTAGAGCAGGATTTGGATGTCCTTGCTTATTGGTCTAGTAACGAGAAACGTCTTCCTAACTTGTCTAGGATGGCCAGAGACATCCTAACAATTCCAATTACCACAGTAGCTTCTGAATCTGCATTTAGTATGGGTGGGAGAATTATAAGCAAATTGAGGGGATCTCTTTTACCTCAAAATGCAAAAGCTTTGCTTACAACTCAAACTTGGTTGGATGCATTTGGAAAGGAAGGTAATATGCTTCTTTTGTTTTTGTTCATTAAATCTACCTATTTTCAATTTGCAATTAAAGATGATTGGATTAAGAATGACTAATTTTAATCATGTATATTGATTTCTTTAAAAGCAGATGTTGAAGGTGAGGAGATAGGACGTGAATTTCATTTAGACTTGGACAATATAAGTATGACTTCTCCTCCTCCTACTAGTGAGCTTGGAAGAGTAGGACCATCTCAAGGACAAACTTTTACCATTTTGGAAGGTGAAGAAGATATCTCTTGAGGTAACTTTTATTAACTTAAAGTATCAAAAAGCTCAAAACTTCATATTTTCAACAAGTGTTTTTTTTTTCGACACTGAATTTTGTTTGGAAAATGTTATTATGAGTTTCTTAACGTCCTTCTAAGTTTATAACCATATTAATTTTTTTTGTTCAGGGGCACACTTAGGTTGGACAGTTTTGGTACTTGGTAGTCTGTTTATTCTCCCACCAACTTGTCTTTGTCTCCTGTATTTGCACTTGGGAGTTGTTACTTGGTGGACTTTTATTTTCTCAATATTTGGTAGTTACCTAGTTCTAATTAGTACTTGGTTGATAGCCTACTATTTTTGGACAACATTGGCAATTGGCATTATAAACTTTGTGAATTTTCTTTTCTTTTCTATTTCGAAATCATGATTGTTACTTGGCAACCTTTTTTGGACAATCACGGCCTACTTGTATCTTCTTATCTAGTTTGTATGAAATTTGGTATTTGAATGTTAATTTTTGGATTGTGAAACCAATCAAGCATCTAAAATAATTTAAATTGTAATAGGTACAAATTACAGAGAAAAAAAGAAAAATATATTTAATTGGGTCAACCCGTGGGTTTACCCGTAACCCGTGATGGGCGGGTTAGGGTTAACCTTTATTAACCCGTGACCCGTTTTAACCCAACCCGTTTTGACCCATGACCCGTTTTAACCCGACCCTAACCCGGCCCAGCCCGCCCATTTGCCAGGTCTAACATAACTACAATTATAGCACAACACCAAGCTACAATTCCAAATAGAACTTTAGACTTTCCGTGGTGCTTTGGAGAAAGGGGACAATAATTACGCAATAATCAACTTGAAACCTAATCAATAATTGGGCATTGATGCACTTTTCTAACTCCCTCACCCAAACTTAATACCCTTCACCTAAATAGTTGTTGTAGCATAGTTTTGGGTGTCCAATTCACAAGAAAGCTAATTAAACCAACAAAAAATTGTTTTCACAATGAGTACTTGGATTAAAAGATAATTTTTTAAAATTGAGAAAAAAGAATATTTGAATAAAATGATAATAGTAAAATAGTGAAAAATAATATTAAGATGAACAAAGCTTCATAATTCACTTAATTTATGTGTTTCGATTGTATTATCAATTATGATTTATATTTATTACTTAATTGTATGTTTTAAATCTCAAACAAATAACCACAAGATATAATTTTGAAGATTTATGATAATAGCAAAGGTATTAAGTGTGAGAGAAATTAATTTCAATAAAGACCACAATGATATATTCTTAAAAGTTATTCAAGAATGATAATATATCTAATAGACAATATGGTAGTAAATGATCAACCCATAAAACAAATCTATTGATCAATTATATTCTAACAGATTGCCCATAAAAAGAGCATGACTAATTTTATATGAAACTTGATAAATATAACTTCTACGGTTTTCAAATCTAAAAATAATTAATAATCTCTCAAAAATAAAACTAAACATTAAAATCCCTTAAATAATCAAAATAAAATAACAAGTTAAATTCATTAATCAAGATCCTTCTTAGCCATATTGAAAGTTTAACTCCACCTTGACATGATTCTCTAATAAGGGAAAAGAAGAAGAATGGCCTAAACCTAGGTTTTACAACTCCTATTTATACTAAGAATAAAATAGAATTGTTTGATAACTATGATAATAGTCCTAAAAAATTAATTTTAGGTTAAATCCTAAATTTGATCCCTCAACTATTGTACAAACCACCGATTTGGTCCCTAAACTAAAAAACTCCTTGATTTGGTCCCTATTGCTTACCAATTTGGCCCCAAGTTGGTCCTTCTCTACAAAAGTAGATAATGTATCTCATTATTAATGTAATACGTTATAGTTAAATAATGGTTTTTTGCCATTAAGTAATAGATACATTAATTATTTTTTAACGGAAGGACTAACTTAGAGCTAAATTGGTAAACAGTAGGAACCAAATCAAGGATCCGTACAATAGTTGAGGAGCTAAATTGGGGGTTTGACCTTAATTTTATTATTTTTCTTATCTATTTGCATTTAGTCAATAGGCTAAACCTCCAAATCTACCCTTCAAATAAAAAGGTAGGGATAGATATACCCCTTAAAATATATAAGGACAAATTGCCCATCTAAATCATCAATCAAGACAAATTATCTATTATTTAATGTGTAACGTCTTCACACGTTAGCTTTCCATTAAAAATCGATGGAAAATTGATTTTTGATGTGTGATGATGTCATACATTAAATAATGAGTGATTTGTCTTAATTAACAACTTAAGAGCGCAATTTATCCTTACTTTTTTTTAGGAGTGGATTTATCCTTATTATCTCATTTGGGAGGCAAATTTGAGAGTGTGACCTAGTACAATAAGTCCTGAAACTCAGAGAAAATTTTAAGAACTTTTTTCACTCTCTAGATACCCCTTGGTGCAACAGAGAAAATCTATGGCTAGCCTTCCACCTTATTGACTATAAGAATATCAGCCCTCCCAACTTACAATATAAAAGTCTTAGCCTCTCATCTTTTCAACTTAAATGAAATAACCCAAAATGAATGACGATGTTGTGTGCTCATTAAAATTCTGTTACCCATTGCCATGTTAGCACCAACGTGGCAATTCCTTACCATCATAACTACTACTGTGTTATAGATACAGTTTTCAATTTTTATTAGACTTGGTAAAATTAGACTTAATTTGAAAATCCAACCCAATCCAACCCAATTCATTATGAGTAGGGTCATGGGTTTAAAACTCTAAAATATCAATTTAGAATTAGATATAACTTGAACTAAAATTACCTAACTGAATTAAGTCAGAACTGAATTGGGTTAACTTGAAATGATCTAACTAAAATTAATTAATTTTTTTAAATTTAAAATTTTGATTAATCATACATTTAATTTTGATTTTTAAGTATAAAATAAAATTAAATGCTATAAAATAATTATTATTTTTTAAATTATTAGTGTTAATATTAATTTAAAAGTTTTTTAACTAAATAATTAATTAATATTAAATTTTTAAAGAAAAATAGAGAAAATATTAAAAAATTTTAATTTTAATTTTAATTTTTTTTAAAGTTAGGATCATTTGACTCAATTTAAGATTTATGTGGGTGAGTTATGAGTTTACTCCTTTAACCCAAAATCCGAAATGACCAAACTCAATAAATCTAAAATTTGAGATGACCCAATTTGAAATCACCTAATTCAACTTATTTTCCAAGTCTAACTTTTATTGTCCACAATGGCAATCCATGATGACAAGAAATTGCCACGTTGGCATTGACATGGCAACGGGTAGCAGAATTTTAATAAGAACATAACACCATCATCCATTTTTTATTTTTTCATTTAGACAAAAAAGATGAGAGGTTAAAACTTTCATATTATAAATTTAGGAACTGACACTTTCACAATCAATAAGGTTGAGGGCTGGCCATAGATTTTTGCCCTGGTGCAACCAACTGACAAGTTCCGGAACATCTTTACTCTCCGCCCCTTGAAGCATTTTTCCTTTGCCAAAAATGAAGAAATTCCAATTGAGCCTTCAAACTTCAAGATTTGACCTATCAACGTTCATCTTTCTGATTTTTTGCACCTAAGTCCTCTTGCTTTCAATTCTCTTTTTTTTTTTTTTTTATTCCAATTCTCTATTTAATCATTCAACCTTCAAGCACTCAAATATGCACAATTAATAGAATCAATATTTATAAAATTATTTATAGAAAAATATCATTTTTAAACTCATATTTTTAAAAAAGTCAATTGTTGACGCATTATACATTTTGATGCTTTTATCACCAATGTAGGGCAATTATATAAGAAGGTCTATTGCATGTTATACAATTGGAAAATAATTAATACACTTTCTGGTTTAATACATTTATTAATACATATCAATTTAGTTATTAAATTTTATAATTAAAATTTTTTTACCTTAAATTCAGATTTATAAATTATAATTTCTTATTGAGTATATTGTAAAATGTGATGAATTAAGAGGTATCAATTATTATCATATACAATTATATAGAACAAATGGGATGAAAAGATTTGGTAGCAAACCAAAAATAGATTAAACCAATTCAAACATTTTCAGCTTATCGTGCTAGCTAAACATTTCCATGACATTTGTTAAAGGCATGTCATTCATACATTGATTAATGTGATAGAATTTGCGAGGTATTATCTCGTCTTCTGTTGTGTAAAACAATGTTAAATGAAGAAAAGACGTCCCTATCTTGCTGAAGGCAAATATTTTGGATGAAAATAAAAACTGTCATCAAATTAGAACCGTGGAGGATAGCAGCAAAAATGACCGAGTAGAATTGCTTGAAAGGAAAATAATTAGTATTTTTTTAATACACTTATTAATATTTATCAATTTAGTTATTATAATATATAATTAAAATTTTTTTATCTTAAATTTATATTTAAAAATAATAAATTTTTAATAAATATATTACAAATATACTGAATTAAAAAAAATTACTAACCATTATTATTTTATTCGAAATTGCAGTTTTGCAGCACCAGGTTCTCTGACATCATAATCGTCTCAGCATGACAACATTCCCTTCAAAATTTACGAGAAAAATGTTTAGAATGTGATCCGATGTGAATTGTCAATTAAATAAGACAACAAATAAGAAGGAATTTCACAAGTCCAGCCTGGCTTTTGTACGGGCATACCTGGTGCTGGACAATGGGCGGTTAATCAAATGAGAAGTGAAAATTTTATTAAAAATTAATTAAATAGTTAAATGTAAATGGTTATTAGTTTTTTTTTTTAATTTTAGTTTAATAATTGAAAAAATTCCATCAGATTAATTAATGGTTAGAGAGTTTAAAAATCGAAAACTAAATATATAATTGAAAAATAAAATTTTATATTAATAAATAAATATAATTATTTAACTATGATAAGTAAATATAAAAATTATCTTATTTAATTTTATTGTCAATTTTTACTGTATAAATTTTTTAATAGTTTAGGGTTTGAATTTAAAATATCTGAAATAAAAAAAAAAAGTAAGATTTGAATTCATATTTTACTCTAATTTACCTATCTTTTTTACATTTTCTTATATTTATATCTCTTAAAAGTTTTCTCCCACTCATGCCACATGTAATCACTTTTTATGTTCGATAATTATTAGTTAAAACCGAAACTAAATTTATAATTACCAAACTATGAATGGTCAAACCAAAAAAGTTTATCTATTCTGGTTTCAATTTAAATTTCAATTTTTAAAACTAAAAAATTTTTATTAGTCCAAATATCGGTTTCAGTTTAACCGAAACCGAAATTTACTCACATGTACATAGAGCAAGTGAAAAACAATTTGTTCCTTCTAAAAGGGTGGTGTTATTTCCACAGCTTCACAGGTTAACACCACAGCTTTTTTAATTAATTGACCATTAACCCACGCGGAGAAGGTGGTGACTGCTGCAAGTTGCATTCAAATGAGGGGTATAATAGTCAAATAATTAAAAAATGCTGTGGTAT